CAGTCGAAAATCGCCAATATCTTGTTTACTCTAGAATTAGCGAAACGACTTGAAGGAAAACAAGTATGGACGAATGCAGTTCATCCAGGTAATTCTAAATGTTCTTAGGAATAATGTTTTTGATAATTTTAATAATATATATTGGAATAATTGTTAATATAAAAAGGTTTTGTCAACACAAATATATCACGAGAATTCTTATCCAACCAAGGATTCTTGACTAAATCAATCATATACATTGCAAAAGCATTGTTTGCGATGAATGAAGACGATGGTGCTCTAACATCATTGTACGCGGCTACGAGCCCCGAAATTGAAAAAGAAGATCATCGCGGCAAGTATTTTGAGCCGATTGCGAAATTGGGAATGCTGAAACCATTTGCTACGAATCAAGAGACTGCTAGTCGGCTGTGGAAATGGACTGAAGACTTGCTCAATGAGAAATTAGGAATTTGAGTTTGCCCATTAAATATTATTTCTTGACTTTTGCTTGAAATTTTATCTGAATTAACACTTCTGAATTTTTTAAGCCAGAAATTTATATTGAATTTCGCCACCGTTATCCTTATTATTTTGTAATTATTGGCAATTTTTATTACAAACTGATGATGCATTTCTTTTGATTATTTCCCTCTCAAAATAAATATATAAATGAATAAAAAACACAACAAAACAAAACACATCGCCTATAAATAAAATAATCCATGAATTCACTCTTTTATTCTGTATAATTAAAATTATTATGATATATATTCCTACTGAAAAAAGATCCCAAATTATATATCCTTTTTAAAGAAGGATACTCTTCCCATTACATTGCAAATTATAAAAATATTTTCTAATGCTCTGTCATAAGAATAAAGTAAAAAAGATACTCATGATACCTTTAAAATATTATATGGTAATTATTTCACTGTAATATTCATTTAAAAAACTAAAGTCTAAAGACAAAATTAATGTAAGTACAAGTATAATAAAGCAAGCTTTGCATTATAATAATCTTTTTTTATGAATTAAGCAAAAGGAACTATTTTAAAAAAATATCAAATTTATATTTAAATTTCATGAAAAAATATCATTACCAAATTATCAACAATTGATACAAAGTTATCTGATCTGATAAATTAAAATTTATGATTTTTAATTTGAAAAACATGAATATTACTAAAAATATAATAATAAATCTCTGAAAGAGCATTATGTAAAACTCATAATAAAATTTAGAGAATAAAAATACATAATTCTGGCAGAAAGTAATAGTAGAATAGCTATTAAATTAATATTAAAGATCATAAAAAATATTTATTCTTCTATGTTATAAATATAAATTAATTAGTTAAATAATATTAGTTAATATACAAATATCTGTTTCTAGATAAATTTTGAAATATTAAAAATTATTTATAATTGTATTAAATTGAAATATTTATAAATAATACTTAATATTTCAAAAAATATATCAAGAAATCTGTCTTGAATAATTATTTAGCTAATATAATTATAGTTATTTTTAAAATGCTATTTAAATTCTTATATATATTTTAAGATATAAAAATAAATATATTATTATATAATAACATAAATTTCTTTAATTTCATAATTTTTTAAACTTTAAATTTTCAGCTAATCAATCAATTTTTAAAAAAATATATATAATTTAGAATGATTTAATTGGTATATCAATAATAATTTCAGTTATATTTCAGTAATAATTTAGTAATACTTCAGAAATAATTCAGAATTATAAAGATATAATTTACTTATAATTTATAAATAGTTTATCAATAATTCAGCTACATCTCAAAAATAGTTCAGAAATGAATTTTATTTATTTTTTTTATTATTTTTTTATTATTTTTATTGTTTTTCAGTTAATATCTTGATCATTATTAGTAAAAAAAAAATAAAAGTTAAAAAAGAAACCATTTATACTGGATATACTAGAAATATTAAAGTTCTTTTATATAACAATTCTAATAAATCTTATGAAATCCAATCTAATAAATGAATTATCTAAGTAATCTTCTTATAACTCATCCTATTTAAAGGAATAATATCTATAAATACTAGAAAAGAATTAGGAAAATTATCTTATAAAACTCAAGAATCTAGAATAACTAGAAAAAATGAAATGAAAATGTACTTTCTAGACAAAAAAGAAACTGAAAAAGTAATTGAACAAAGAAAATTAATATTTGAATAACAAGATATCTTATATAACCTATTGCAAGTATATAAAAATATTTTTATATTAGATCTTAATGAACTTAAACAAATCAATATAATTTAATATTCAATTAATACTAAAAAGGAAAAGTTTGTCTATCAAAAGACTTACAGAATAATTATATCTAATCAAGAATTTATTCATGATAAAATTTAATAAATGTTAGATATACATATTATCCAAAAATCTAATAGTTCCTGAATCTTACCTATTATAATAGCAGCAAAGAAAAATGACAAGAAATAATTTTGTGTTGACTACAGAAAACTCAATATACTCATCAAGAAAGATATTCATTCTTTATTACAAATTGATGAAATGATAAATAATCTTGAAAATGCAAAATGATTTTCATTTATAGATTTTATTTCTGATTACTGACAAATCAAAATGACATCATTCAGTATTGAAAAGATAGTTTTTATTTCAAGAGAAGAATTATATGAATTCAAAGTCATGTCTTTTAAACTTTGTAATGCACCAGTAACTTTTCAATGAGTTATTAATAATATACTTGAAGATTATAATTAGAAATTTGCCATGATCTATATTAATAATATTAATATGTACTCAAAGACTTGAAAAGAATATCTAGAATATTTATAAAAAGTCTTTCAACAAATTAGAGAAGCTAGATTAAAACTCAACTTAGAAAAATATAATTTTATTTAAGATAACTTGCTCTTTCTAGAACATATTATAATTCAAGATAAAATTTTATCTGACTCTCAACTATTCAAAGAATTCAAGAATTTTCTATACCAACAAATATCAAAAAGCTTAGATCATTCTTAGAACTAGCTGAATATTATAGAAAATTTATCAAAGAATTCTCATAGATAATAGTATCACTATTTAAACTTTTAAAGAATAATTATAAGATTATTTTGTTAATAATTGTAAATAAGATAAAATGTGATATGAATAAGTTTTAATTTTATAACTTATAATTATTTTTATTATTTAAAAGTAT